GGTCCCTGCTTCTGCTTCCTGCTTCTATTGTCTGTGTGTGTGCAATAGAGTACATTTTTATAGAGAAATGGAGGCTGGACAGTATGCGTAGTATCGGCATAGACGGGAAAGCAAGAGCCGACCGCTATGCCGCCCTCGTGTTTAGAAATCTTGTGACTTTTGAAATTTACTGGGGGTGGACCACGTCTGTAAATTTCGATGGGTCCAAACGGGAAGTAGCAGAATGGAGGCGTGATCGTATTTGCGGAAAGGAGGTCGGGGGAGGGCTTTGTAACCATCTCGAAAGGGAGTGTAAACACTGTCCAATGTGTTTGTTCCGCGCGATGGGCAATTGATGTGTTGATGTAGATTAGGCATTGTTTTCTTCAAGTTTGCACCGTTGAAATCACCCGCTATTCCAGTTTATGTTGTGTTTGTGTGTGTGTCCCAGTGTGGGAGATATTGCTGTTTGATCTGTGCTGTGATGTGGTTGAGTCTGAGTTATGGTGCTCTAGCAGTGTTGTCCTGAGGCTGGCTGGTGTCGGTGTGGCTCAGGTGAGTGAGCCTCAGGACCAGCTGGGTCAGGGGGCTGTGTTTTGGGCTCAGCAGGGCTTTGTGGTGGTAGGTGGTCTCTCTCTCTCGGGCTCTCGGGCTGGTCGTGTGTCTCTCTCTGGTCGGGGCGCGGGAGAGCTGGATGGCAGTTGGTGACGGAGAAGAAAATAAAGGCAGCTTTTAACTCCGAAAGTCTGAGTTTTTGTGTCCTTCCTATCCAAACCTGAAATCATTACACTATCATTCTGTCCATCGAAAACCTGTTTATATGTGACCTTTCAGAACACCTATCTGTTTTCTTCCTAGCATAATTTATTAGCATTCTGTGATTAAATTATTTCTCATTACATTATCATTCCCACTGTGCATAACAAGGAAGATTAATAAACATAAAGTTGTTTAATGACAAACTATTGTATATCTCATGGCTAAATAATCAAGTCTAGCCAAAAGAGAAAACATCGACTTTACGTAAACCCCAGCGAAAGTATTAATGGTTTTTAATTACCATACTTTTAAAATGTATTTAAAAATAAAATTGCAATTGGCACGCCTGTAGCTTTCTCACGAAACCTCGTAGAGTAACGAAATTCTTGAGTTGTACAGTGTTTCAGCTAAATATACAGTTTGATTCTCTCTTCCAAACGAGAACAAAATTGCGACAATTTTATTAACGGGCTGTTTCAGTAACTCAAAGTATTTATTTAAAGTCATAATTTAACAATAAATGTAAATGTTTTATGATATGTCGCTGTTGTGAATGTCTTTAGAGTGTATCCTATTTTTAGTTTTGGTTTTAGTTTTGTAGACAAAGGCTACATTATCATTACATTATCATTCTCAAAGTGCATAACAAGGAAGATTAATAATAATAGACATAAACATAATCTCATGGCTAAATAGTCAAGTCTAGCCAAAAGAGAAAACATCAACTTTTTTCAAAACTCCAACGAAAGTATTGATGGTTTTTAATTACTGTACTTTTATGGGACATGACTTTGCCAAAATGTATATAAAAAAAAACAATTACGATTGGCACGCCTGTAGCTTTTTCGCACGCCTGTAGCCTGTAGCTAAATAAGCAGAGAAAACATTTGTCTGTCTTTCCGTGTAGGGAAGGGGGACTGTCTTTGATTGGAAAGCATGACTATTCTACTCTGAGAATGCCCGTTGTCTTTTCACTGATAAACTTGTGTTAACAGAAACCACAGTATGCTTAAGTATGCTTAAGAGTTGTCAAACCGGTTTTTATTTATTTTTCGGCACAGGTCAGGTCTGGCTTATTTCTAGAAAACCATAATTCTGGTCTTGTCCAGATTGACTGTCAGCGCCCAGGCCTGACAGTGCTGCTCCAGGAGTGCCAGGTTCTGCTGCTGCCCCTGTTCTGTGGGTGACAGCAGAACCAGGCCATCTGCATGGAACAGGAACTTGATTTCTGTTAGATTAAAAAAAACACTTTGCCCGACGTTAGAAAGCATCTTGCATTACATTGCTTGAAAAATCATTTTATTTCGAGAGACTGGATAAGTAATTCAAATGTTTTTTAACTTCCTGAAAAACAAGCCAAGCTATGAGTCATCTTTGCAAGGCATGTTAAGAGAAGAAATCATGTTTTTGGATGTTGATGTAATGTGATTGGAAGACAGCAAGTGAGGTAAAAAATATGTTTTTCGCATTATCTTGCGAGCCTTGTTTTGTCAAAGAACCAGAGATCATCTCGCTTTCAAAGGACAGCACAGACTTTCAAAAGGTCGCAAAGATACTAGCAAGGGTTAATTGCACTATGAACCGGACAAAGAAATGTAAAATAGTCTAGGGCAGGAGTGGATCGCAGCAGGAATACACAGCAAATGTAAATAGTTCCCTGGTTCCGCACCCCTCTCCCTCTCCAGACACAGCTTTATGAGCTCCACCAGTCAGGACAGGAGGCTCTACTGTACACAGAGAGGGGTGGGAGGGGGGAACAAGCTGATACCCTGGCTTCTGAAAAAAAACCATAAGAATCAAGTAATAGGTTTATTCCATGCTGAAAAAAAGTAGAAAGAAAACACATTCCATAGGAATCAGCGCCTTTATATAGCACCTTTAAAGGTGGCTTCTCAAAGTGCTTTACGGGATAAAAACAACAATAACAGCAACAATATTGTATTCCATTGCACTCTGACAGATCGTCTTTAAATCAATTGTTGATTTAAAGTTTGACAGTAAATGTTTATATTGTAATGCATACAGCCTCCATTTCTTAATAAAAATTTTAAAAATCGTTTGCACAGCTTAAAAGGGGGAGTCTGCTCTCAGTGACAGCTGACAATCCTCCATACACTCAAGTGAAAAATTAATAACGCCAATGTAAACGTTGTATTTACAATTTGTTGATAATAAAATTGTTAAGTTCTCTAAGGTTTTGTGATAGTTAACTCAGGGAGCTAAACTATTTATTGTTATTTAGTGCGTGGTGACTATTCATTGTTATTTAGAAATGACTTAGATTCGAACATGTTAATTTTCCATAATATTGCTATTTTATTTTTTCAAAGAAAAGTTTGTTAAAAGAAAAGTCATGGCACAGGCTGGATTTGAACAGCCAACCTCGCACTAACATGTCCAGCACTTAGACCACAGCACTACTCGCAAGGTCACATGAGGAGTGGTGAAACAGCCCTACACATACTGTGTCAAGAGACGTTGTACAGCATGTACTATTGTGTTGTAGTACATGAATATAATTATATCGTTATTAATTTCTTTAGATACGCGATTCCATATTATATTCCCTATTAATCAAATTCTTAAAGTATGCTTGTTTGCTCCGGTATCGAGCGTATTCACAGAAAAGCTTAAAACTACCACTTTTTATACACGTTATTTCATATGTTAGTTAAACACTTCGGTGCTTAAAATGTTTAGGGAGAAATGGAATGCTGGTGTGTATTTTTTCTTTAAGGTACCAAGACCAGCCATATACAGCTTACATACTGTAATATTGTATGTTTATGTTCCAAAATTAATATCGTTTATGGCCTTCACATGCGTTATGCTCCTATTCTTCTTATGCTCAGCTACTAAAATTTCCCTTCAGCGGTAAAATTCCCTATAAATATTCAATACTAAAATGGGCACAGTAAAGACATTTAAATCTTTCTACGACCGACCAACAAACCACTAGTGCCCCTGTCGGTCAACCAATCACGTACCGTGGTATGACGCATGATGACGCGCTATGACGCGTGATGACGTAGTCAAATGCCCGCGGTATGTGTTTGTGTCGCGCACTTTGAATGGCTGCATCTGTGTACAATTATCCAAATCAGGGTCACAGCAACCGAGAGCCTATTCCAGGAATCACTGGGCTCAAGGCAGGACTGAACCCTGGACAGGATGTCAGTCCATCACAGGGTAAAACACTCACACCAGGGCTAGCTTCCTCAGACGCCTATTAACCTACCAGCATATTCGTGGACATGGGGAGAACATACAAACTCCACACAGACAGCACCCCAGATTCAAAAAAAATTCAAAGATGAGAGATAAACAAATTGATAGATATTGCAAACCTAATTCTCTTCCATAGCTACTTCCTATTTATTAGAAAAAATGAGGAATATAAGAGATAAGGGTAAGATTCAAATGGAAAGTGAGGCTGGCACTCCCATTGCAATTGAGGAATCTCAAATCAGCATAAATCCAATAATTCAGCTTCCTGGAGAGAATCACTAGACACTGGTTAAAGCTGGACTCTATGATTGAAATTTCAAGAAGAAAATTACCTAAAAATCAACTACATATACAGTATATATTTAAAAAGGTTGTGTTTTGAGCCTCTCAGTAATCATACGTTTACACAGAGCCCAAAGACAAAAACAAGAATTAGACAAAAAAAAAATGTATATGTCACCCTTCTTTTTTTTGTATTTTCTAGGTGTTATATTACAGTATGATGCATGTGAAAAACAGAATGCTGTGAGTCTTAACATATCTAAATAAAACAATTAAAAGAAATCACCAGTGTTCACTTACCCCTGTATTATTAATTTACAGTTGGGATCATTCCGAGCTGCAGACAGCCGTTTCACTTCTGAATCCTTCAGGTGATTGTGACTCAGATCCAGCTCTCTCAGACTGGAGTGTTGAGACTGAAGAACAGAGGCCAGATCTTCACAACATCTCTTTGTTAGTTCACACTCCCTCATCCTGCAGACAAAAAGACAGGAGCACAGCTGAACATCTGCACAGCTCATCCACATCTTTCTTTCCAAGTCTTCACTACAGCACCCAGCTCAGCAGTAATATTCAACATCATGTCATTATCATCTCAGAGTGTCCATGGGTGAGGATGATGAAGATAACAGCTGCTTCAAATTTTGGGTTCCAGAAGGAAGAAGAAAGTTGAGAAGCAACTGTCAAGAAGGGAAACAGTGGGAAACAGGGAGACACACTGAGCTACAATGGCTGGAAAAGGGAAATAGAATGAGAGACTTTGACTTTGACTTTTAACTCACAACTCACACTGAAGTTAAGCAGGTATGAGCCTGGTCAGTACCTGGATGGAGACCTCCTGGGAAAAAGGTTGCTGCTGGAAGAGGTGTTAGTGGGGCCAGCAGGGGGTTCTCACCCTGCGGTCCATGTGGGTCCTAATGCCCCAGTATAGTGATGGGGACACTATACTGTAAACAGGCGCCGTCCTTCGGATGAGACGTAAAAC